TTTTTTTTTTTGGTTTATTTATTTATTTTTTTTTGGAGACAGAGTCTTGCTCTGTTGCCCAGGATGGACTGCAGTGGTGCCATCTCTGCTCACTGCAACCTCCGCCTCCCAGGTTCAAGCAATTCTCCCACCTCAGCCTCCCGAGTAGCTAGGACTACAGACAAACACCACCACGCTCAGGTAATTTTTGTATTTTAGTAGAGACGGGGTTTTACCATGTTGGCCAGGCTGGTCTCGAATTCCTGACCTCAGGTGATCCGCCCGCCTCAGACTCCCAAAGTGTTGGGATGACAAGTCTGAGCCACCACGCCCGGCCCAGTGTTTTGTATTTTAGTAGAGACCAGGTTTCACTATGTTGCCCAGGCTGGTCTCAAATTCCTGAGCTCAAGCAATCTGCCTGTCTCGGCCTCCCCAAGTGCTAGGCTGTGCCAGGGTTCTGATCCAGTCTCTTCCACCTGGGCCATTGCTCTGGCCTCCTGCCCTCCCCCTCAAAGAAGCCTAAGCTTCTCCCACCTGGGTACTGGGGGGCCCTAGGGGATCATGAGAGCCCCGTGAGGGAATTCCGAGAGTGCCCGGGGAAATGACAGAAAGTTCGAGGCACCCTACTTATTTGCAGGAACCCCACGAGGGTTCTGGGGGCCTCCGAGGGATCATGGGAGTCCTAGGGAGGTTCTGAGGACCCCCAGGGGATCATGGGACCCTCATGAGGACTTCAGGGGTTCCTGAACAATCATGGGAACCCTGTGGGACGTTCTGAGAGCTAGAGAGATCGTAGGAGTCCCGTGAGGATTTTGTGAGGGGCCATAAGTAATTACAGGAAGTCCTGATGTGGCTGGGTGCAGTGGCTCACGCCTGTAATCCCAGCACTTTGGGAAGACGAGGTGGGTGGATCACTTGAGGCCAGGAGTTCGAGACCAGACTGGCCAACATGCTGAAACCTTGTCTCTAGAAAAAGTAGAAATATTAGCTGGGAGTGGTGGCACACGTCTCTGGTCCCAGTTACTTGGGAGGCTGAGGTGAGAGGATGGCTTGAGCCCAGGAGGTTGAGGCTGCAGTGATCAACAGGTGCGATCACGCCACTGCACTTCAGTTTGGGCGACAGAGTGAGACCCTGGCTCAAAAACAAAACAAAACAAAAACAAAAAAAAACCCAAACCGGAAGTCCTGATGTATTCTAGGCTCCTGAGATTTCCCATGAGGGCACATGAACCCCACGAGTATTGAGGGGCCCTATGGGATCACGGGGGCTCCATGGAAGTTCTGAAGGTCTCCGGGTAATCAAGGGGATAAAGGGAGTCCCTCAGGAGGTCTGGGGTGCTCCGGAGGCCCATGAAGGCCATAGGATGTTTTAAAGAGTCGTGGAAAGACAATGGAGGTTGTGTGTCGCCGGAGCCCCACAGGAATCTTAAGGGGTCTGGTGGTGCGCGTCAGGTTCTGAGGGGACCCTGAGGAATCACGAAAGCGTCTAGAGGAGTTCGGGAAAACCGCGGAAACACCACGAGAAGTTCAGGATCAAGGGGCAAGAGAACCACTGGGGAAGATGGGAACAGACTAAAAGGCCGAAGCCGCCACCGCCAAGGCTCAAGGGAGCGTCCTACAGGGCGCGATCCTATTGGGCGGCGGGAATCACGGGGACTGAGAGAGGCGGAGTTGCTGAGCTGCCGCAGTGGATGACGGGACTCCCCGCGAAAAACCGGGCGCCCAGGCCTGGGTAACGCAGCGGGCAGCGCCGGCCGGGCAGGCTCTCACCAGTGCGCATGCGTGGCTCTCCGGCACCGGTCCGTACTCCAGCGAGGTGAAGATCTCGCGGGCGCGGGGCCCTGCACGCGTCGCAGCCATCGCCTACCCAGAACGCTTTCCGCGAAGACTGGGGCGCTCTGTGTTAAGGGGAACCTTGAGGTCCGAAGGGCCACACCTCCCGTTCCAGCCCAAAGGGGCGGGACTAATGCGAATGGGGTGGGGCTACGAGATACAGAGAGCAGGCTCGCCCACACTTTTTGCCTTAGGACCCGTTGGCCCAGCCTACGGGGAAGCGTATGTAGGAGCATGCGCACTGCTTAAAACGGGGAGGAAAGCGAGCCAGGGATGTAGGTAATTTGCGATTAATTGGGAGGGCTCCGGATTTAGAAGGATCGCCGTGGTCGGGCACGATGGCTCACGGTTGTAATCCCAGCACTTTGGGAGGCCGAGGCAGGTGGAACACCTGAGGTCGGGAGTTCGAGACCAGCCTTACCAATATGGTGCAACCCCGTCTCTACTAAAAACATGAGCTGAGCTGTGGTGGTACGCGCCTGTAATCTCAACTACTCAAGAGGCTGAGCCGGGAGAATCACTTGAACCCGGGAGGCGTACATTGCAGTGAGCCGAGATCGCGCCAGTGCACTACAGCCTGGGTGACAAAGGCAGACCCTGTCTCAAAAAAAAAAAAAAAGTAATTTAAAAAAAAAAAGGTCGTCGTATTGATGCGTCTTCCCAGTGCCTTGTTTTATAGTAGCAGGAAGTGCAAGTTTTATTTGTTTTACCTTTTATTTTCTTGAGATAGGGTCTCCCTTTGTCGCCCAGGCTGGAGTGCAGTGGTCCGATCACGGCTGACTGTCGCCTCTACTTTTCCGGTTTAAACGTTTCCCCTGCGTCAGCCTGCACAGTAGCTGGGACTACAGGCGCATGCCATCAAGTCTGGCTATTTTTTTCCTTTTTTTTTTTTTCCGTAGAGACAGGATTTTGCTATGTTGCTCTGACTGGTCTCGAACTCCTGGACTCAAGCGATCCTCCTACCTCAGACTCCCAGCCTGAAAGTGCAGCTTTCAGTTCTAATTATATTTACTAGGGGTCGGAGCTAGATCTGGCAGGAAGTGATAATTCAAAGATAAAAAGGGTACCTTTTAGGATGGACATTGAGATTAAGGTTTTGAAAATGCAACCTTCACTGCAAAGTAACGGGGCCGGTTTTGGTTGTGGAAAGAGTGGAAGTGTGGCGCTTTTTTCTTTTTTAAACAGATGGGCTGTGGGACGTTATCTCATTGTATTGCCCAAGCTGGTCTCGAACTGCTGGCCTCACGTGATTCTCGCCGTGGCCTCCCAAAGTGCTGGGACTGTAGGCATGAGCCACAGCGCCCAGCCGGAAGTGTGGCTTTCATAGATACAGGAAGTGTGGCATTTAGGGATTCGCCTTGGTGTTTATTTTTGATTGATGCGAAGGGCGTGGCTTGTCAATAACGCGATACCAGCTTGTGAGTGCGCATGGGGTACTCGGAAGTGTGGCGTACTCGAGTCTTGTGTTTACGGATAGACCGGAAGTGTGGCTTCGTTTACAATTCGGCAAGTAGGACGGAGAGTGCGTCCAGAGATACAGATTCCCAACGGATTTGATGACGGTGTTCGGTCTTGAATGGAATTGTAGTCTTAGGCCAGTCTTAGCTTTCTGAACAGGATAATAGGTATCCGGAGTCGATTGAGGGCCAGAGCAAGCACTGGGGTTCGGATCCTGGGCAAAGTTCCCCACGCTGAGGGTCTTGAGGACGCCTAGATCTCTTTTCCAGGGCCATGGCGAACCCGAAGCTGCTGGGACTGGAGCTAAGCGAGGCGGAGACGATGGGTGCTGATTCGGCACGATTTGAGGAGCTGCTGCTGCAGGTGCACAGTGA